GAGCAGTTTCTGTCAGAGCTCTCTCAGCCCCGCCTACCTCACAGGGTGTCTGTTGTGGGGAGGGGAAGGGAAAGGAGTTTGTAAGCCGCTCTGAGACACCTTTGGGTAGTGAAGGGCGGGGCATAAATCCAATCTCTTCTCTTCTTCTCTTCCCATTTATACCCCACCCTACCCCGCCGAAGCAGGCTCAGGGTGGCTTACACAGGATAAAATACATATCAACAGTCAAAATTACCACAAAACATTTAAAAACAATTCATTCAAACAATACGATATCGATGAGGTCGATGCCAAAGCCGCTCTGGATCTGGTGCAGTTCGCCTATTTCAAAAAGGCTAGACAATGTTATTGAGGCAATGGACATAAAACTGAGCAAACTCCGGAGCACGACGGGAGACAGGAGGGCCTGGCGTGATGTGGTCCACGGGGTCGCAAAGAGTCGGACTCGACTGTGCGACTGAACAGCAACAACAAAAGCATCTCTGAGACCAACAAAGATTTATTCGAGGTGTGAGCTTTCGTTTGTACCCACACTTTTTCAAATACATTGGCATGAAAGGTAAGAGTTCAGCACACTTTTTCAAATACATTGGCATGAAAGTTCAAACTTATTACCCCTGAGCAGCAAATTAACATGTAACATGTAACAGATTAACATGTAACATGTTAATTAACTCTTTACCTTCCATTCCAATATGTTTGAAAAAGCGTGCCTGCACACGGAAGCTCATACCTTGAATGAACCTTTGTTGGCCTTCAGGGTGCTGCCGGACTCTAAAATGTTTCTGGAAAACCAGCCATGAACGTCTGAATCTGCTTTGTGCCAGTTTGTGTTTTGTTTTGTCTTTCGGACACTAAAACAGTCGTCTCTGTTGCTTTCCAGACCTGCCCCATCACGGCGCGTACGCTGGAAACGCTCATCCGGCTCGCCACCGCCCACGCTAAAGCCCGAATGTGTAAAACGATCAACGAGGTCGATGCCCAAGCCGCTCTGGATCTGGTGCAGTTTGCCTATTTCAAAAAGGTGCGCAGATGGGCAGTCGGCTTTCCTTGCTTTTCATAAGGAAAACCTGGCTGAGGGGGCGGGTATGGAGAAGGCCTCAGCTTGTATCTTCAATGAATGTAGGTTTGTCTAGCCAGCGTGGTGCAGTGGTTAAGACTGGCAGACTCTAATCTGGAGAACCAGGTTTGATTCCCGCACTCCTCTACAGAGTGGAGGTCCTTCCGTGGCGATTAGCCCCAAGGCATAGATGGAAGTCTCTGTCTGGGGCAAGTGATGCTCTGTATTCTTGGTGCTTGGGAGGGGGGGCAACAGTAGGAGGGCTTCTGGAGTTCTGGCCTTGCTGGTGGACCTCCTGATGGCACTGGTATTTCTGGCCACTGTGTGACACAGAGTGTTGGACTGGACGGGCCATTGGCCTGATCCAATATGGCTTCTCTTATGTCCTTATGTCTGGGACAGTGATGCTCTGTATTGTTGGTGCTTGGGGAGGGGGCAACAGCGGGAGGGCTCCTGATACAACCTGGGTTGTGGCCACTGTGTGACACAGAGTGTTGGACAGGATGGGGCATTGGACTGATCCAACAAGGCTTCTCTGATGTTCACATGACGCCTGCTGGGTGACATTGGGCTGATGATGAAATGTTCAGTTGACTTAGCGAAACGTGAAGCATGGCATATTTTAGCTTTTGCGTTCGATTACACTCCAGTTTATTCGCTACCCTGAATAAGCCCTGACTAGCACAAAGCTAAGCAGGGTCGGCCCGGGTTAGTATTTGGATGGGAGACCTTGAAAGAAGTCCAGGGTTGCTACACAGAGCCAGGCGATGGCCAGCCATTACTGCTCCTATTTTTCCTTGGGAACCCCATCGGGGATTGACGTTAAGTCAGTTGCAACTCAGTGGCACTTAACCATTAATTATAATGCCGTACCGCTTTTCCTCAGTGCTCAAAGTTGGTCGCAATAAAACAACACTATCCTATTTACTTGAAGGGGAAGACGAAGTTATTTTCCTTTTTTTTCCCCCAGGAGTGCCAGCAAGGGAAATGAGGGGTCATCTTAAATTCACGTGTGGTGGTTAAAAAAAACAAAACAAACACAACTCTTATTTTTCAGGGGAATTACACTGCATTTGTGTGTGTGTGTGGGGGATCATTTTTCAGGTAAATGGGGTCGTTAAAAGCCAAACAGGAGTCATGTGAGTGATGAGAATGCATGAGTAGGGTCCTGGGATATTTTGAACATGAGTAGGACTTGGACCCCTTACAACATACTTGAGAATGCTATCTGCCCCCCCCCCCCAAAAAAATCTTGTTCATCTCTAAGGTGCTACTGGACTCATATCTAGCCCCCACCCCAAACTGTCGCAGGTGTAGGACAAGGGGAAAAGAATGTGATTTCTGACACTCCCTCTCTGATATATATATATATGGACAGCTGTCACTGTGACTTCAGAAGTTTAATCATAATAGGTCCAGATTTTGGTATGTAACCTAGAATCTTCTGATTAGTGAAACCTGTAGCAGTATATATATATATATAATTTCTAATTGCATTTTTGTATAAGAAGCCTCTGTATATGGAATTAGGATGCAGTAGAATGGGATGCGTATTTAGAAGCTGCAAGGATGCCGAGAGCGAAGTTTAATGTGAATCGCAGCCCTTATCAGCTAGCTTTCCATAAGCGAGGCCAGAGAGGGGTCCCCGTGTTCTCTAATGTTTCCCATTGTTCTGAAGACCAGATAAACAAATGCAATCCCTGACGAACATGACCAGTATCAGGAGACACCAATAGTAAGAGTCAAATGCTGCTTCCATGATGTTTACTGCTTGGTACCAATGAAAGATTCTTGAATGTGTAAATTATGTGTGATGTCATCTGGGGTATAAGACCCTCTTGCCCTTCCTGGTTAAGGCAGAGTACAGCTTGGTGTTGCTAAGTGCTGAAATGTACTCAGCCTTGTATTTCCTGTTTTAATTTGCAATAAACAGATATGACGGTCTGATTCCAATTTGGCCAAGGGGTCACACAGGGCACAGATCTGTGCATCACAGCCGACTCATAGCGACCCCCGGGGCCACGGGGTTTTCAAGGCAAGAGAAGAAGAAGAATTGGATTTACACCCTACCCTTCACTCGGAGTCTCAGAGCGGCTTACAATCTCCTTCCCTTCCTCCCCCCACAACAGACACCCTGTGAGGTAGGTGGGGCTGAGAGAGCTCTCTCGAGGACTGCTCCGGAGAGAACAGCTCTGAGAGGACCCAAGGTCACATCAGCAGCTGCATGTAGAGAAGTGGGAAACCAAACCTGGTTCTCCAGATTAGAGTCCGCCGCTCTTAACCACTACACTAAACTGGCTCTGAGAGGAGAAGAGGTGGTTTGACCTTGCCTGCCTCTGCGTGGGAGCCCTCGGTCACCAATTTGGTGTCGTGGTTAAGAGCGGTGGACTCTAATCTGGAGAACCCGGTTTGGTTCCCCACTCCTCCACATGCAGCCAGCTGGGTGACCTTGGGTCAGTCACAAGTTCTCTCAGAGCTCTCAGCCGCAGTTTCTCAGTCAGAGCTCTCTCAGCCCCTCCGACCTCACAGGTTGCGAGGAGGGGAAGGGAAAGGAGATTGTAAGCCACTCTGAGACTCCTTCGGGTAGTGAAGGGCAGGGTATAAATCCAATCTCCTCCTCCTCCTCCTCCTCTTCATCTCCTTCTCCT